AGAGGATTGGCTAGATCAGAGATGGAGAAGGCATGGTACCCCAGATGTTGCTGGACTCGGTCGTCCCTGGCCGAGGTCGATGAGAGTTGGTACCAACAACAGCTGGGGGATGTCAGGTTCGCATCCCTGAGCTAGAGTCATCTTCAGATTTCCAGTAGCGCCAGGATTCTGTGACTTGGATTTTAGTAGTATCCCTCTATAATCTATTTACCAACCCAACATTTTAAAAACAAACCAAGAAGGCACCGTTGGTTTTAATTCCTGAAATTTTAGGGTTTGTCCCCCCCCACCCCGCAAAAAAAACCCCAGCATTCGAGAGTGCCGGGGTAACCAACCAATTGACAATGACATTCCTCTCCTCAGCAGCTGCTCTGGGATTCCGGCCAAGTCTTCAGCTCAAACATGCAAGAAAAACGCATCTTGTTACGCAGTCGGTCTTAACAGGCGCGAGGCCTTTAAGCAAACCCAGAGGCTGCCGAGGCTAAAAATATTTTTAACAATAGGAAAATACATCAATCTTTCCGGCTGCCGAGTTATCGGCGTCTTTTATGCTTGGCCTACAAAATTCCACTTGGAGGTTGCAGCCCCTGATGTATCGCCAAGTTGGAAAATGGGGAGCGGGGGGGGGGGGGAGTAGACCAGGCAGAGGAAAAACTCCTTCCGCCCTGGGCTGACTTTGTTTTTGTGACACTAAACTCCCGGCAAAGTGGCTGGGGCCTCTGGGGTTTGACCGCTGGGGCAAGGATCTTTAAGGCAAAGCTTTATAAACACATACACACAGCCTGATCTTACATGCATGTTTACTCAACAGTACGCCACGCTGAGTTCAGCAGGGGTCCTGAGGGTAGCAACACAAGAACGGGGCCTTATCTGCAGTGGCTCCCCATTTGTGGAATGCCCTCCCCAGGGAGGTTTGGCTGGCACCTTCATTATACACCTTTAGGTGCCAGGCAAAAACGTTCCTCTTTAACCAGGCCTTGCCCTTTGAAAATGTGTTGGGGAGGGGATTATTGGGTTGTTTTTACTTTTGCTATTTATGTTTTTATATTGTGATTTTATCTTGTGAGCTGCCCTGAGACCTGCGGGTATTGGGTGATGTACAAATTTTAATAATGATGATGATGATGTTAGCACTACAGCCTTTGCATTGGCTATATGAGTAGGGACCTGTAAAGGTAAAGGGACCCCAGACCGTTAAGTCCAGTCGCGGATGACTCTGGGGTTGCACGCTCATCGCGCTCTATAGGCCGAGGGAGCCGGCGTTTGTCCGCAGACAGCTTCCGGGTAATGTGGCCAGCATGACTAAGCCATTTCTCGCGAACCAGAGCAGCGCACGGAAACACCATTTACCTTCCCGCCGGAGCGGTACCTATTTATCTACTTGCACTTTGATGTGCTTTCGAACTGCTAGGTTGGCAGGAGCAGGGACCGAACAACGGGAGCTCACCCCATCGTGGGGATTCAAACCGCCGACCTTCTGATCGGCAAGTCCTAGGCTCAGTGGTTTAACCCACAGCGCCACCCGCATCCCATGTGCAGTGGCCGGTAGTTGCATGCCTTTTGGGAAGTTCACCGAACGAGGCCTGTAGGCAATAGACCTTTCCCGCTTCAGTGGCTGGGCAACCCAGTCAGATGGGTGGGGTATAAATAATAAAATTATTGTCGTCATCATCATCATCATCATCATTATGGAGCATTAGCACAGCTGTAGTAGGTCAAAGAAAGTGGCTACAGATTGAGAACCCTCATTTGGGACTTAAGTAGTGGGGAGCCATAGAGGCAAATCAGCCCAAATACAGTGGTGCCTCGCAAGACGAAATTAATTCATTCCGCGAGTTTTGTCGTCTTGCGATTTTTTTCGTCTTGCGAAGCACGGTGTCGGGAAAGTTTTGGAAAAGCTTCAAAAATCACCAAAGTCTTTAAAAACCTCAAAAAGGCTACCACACCGCGTTCTATGAGTTGCTCCTCGAAGTCAAGTCGCAACTGTATTAACGGTGTTAAGAAAAAGGAAACAAACTTGCAAGACGTTTCCTTCTTGCGAAGCAAGCCCATAGGGAAAATCGTCTTGCGAAGCAGGTCAAAAAACAAAAAACCCTTTCGTCTAGCGAGTTTTTTGTCTTGCGAGGCATTCGTCTTGCGAGGTACCACTGTATTTTTCTCTTACTGGCAAAGGACCGCAAGATCCTGCACTGATGATAATATGCTTTTCAGCTAGTCAGAGTTAATTGTAGTACCCTCTGATTTCTTGTGCTGCCTGTTCATTCCAAAATCCAGGACTCAGTGAATGAACCTGAATGAAATCTGTTAATCCCACTAGAGCCAAACCCTGAAAAGTCTTCACACATGTTTGTTGGCTTCCTCTTATGACTCTTGGTTATTACACCCCAATAGAACAGGTTATGCAAACTACGAAAAGTAAAGAAAAGAGAAAGTGTAGATTAAAGGCATGCTTGCTCCAATGACTTGTCTCCCAAGTTATCTTACCTGAACTATAGCCTGGGAAATTTTTGTGGGCAATTTAGGACTGGCAGTAGCACCTAATGGGTACTTTGACTCTTTGGATTTGAGGAGGATGTGATGGTGGAGGCTAAGGTTTTCGAATATTTATTGGTTTTGCGCTTTTCAGGCAAACCTCCCAAAGCAGTTTCCGTAAGGTTCTTGCAAAAAAATAAACATTGATTTTTTTTACCCAAATTTTTTTTAGACTGGAACAGACAACATCTTTATTTAACAAAAGCTGTTACCGCATCTTCTCACTTGCTCTCAGAGCAAGATTGTTCGTTGTTGCGTTTTATCTGATATTACTGATGTTCATATAGAATAGATTTAGGTTTTATTGCGTTAAGTTTAGCTTGTGGAGATGTGAAGGTGGGGGAGGGGAATTAGGAGGGGCTGTGTGCCCCCCCCCAAGTTTTTCTTATTTCCACGCCCCCTGTTTGTTTCTAAAAAAATACAGGAGGGAGTGGTTCCAGAGTGCCATTTTTCCAGAGTTTTACCAGAACTTGCCTTAAAAGCTGGGGGGGGGGGGACGGACTGGCGGGCTGTTAAGGTCTTGTAAACAAAATTGCAGGGAGCAAAATCAAGATTTGGAAGTGGGCTTAGAAAGCTGGCTGGGAAGGTAAAGAGAAAGAGGCTTCTCTGAGGTTGTGGAGGCAGGGATGACTGCCAGTGCCTTGTTTGTGGCAGAGTTCCAGGCTTTGAGAACTACAGTGGTACCTCGGGTTAAGTACTTAATTCGTTCCGGAGGTCCATTCTTAACCTGAAACTGTTCTTAACCTGAAGCACCACTTTAGCTAATGGGGCCTCCTGCTTCTGCCGTGCCGCCGGAGCCCGATTTCTGTTCGCATCCTGAAGCAAAGTTCTGAACCTGAAGCACTATTTCTGAGTTAGCGGAGTCTGTAACCTGAAGCGTCTGTAACCCGAGGTACCACTGTACTTCTTTAAAAATTATTTATGGTTGGGGCATGCAAGGAAAGCCAGCCAGCCAGCAACAGGTGCACTGAGGCACGTGCAGAAAGCTTGACCTAGTTTTCTGGACTCCTGAGTCACCCTTGTCTCTAGTTTCCCTTGTTTGATTGAGCAAAACATGCGCAGGGCGGGGGGGGGGAGGGGTTTCCACCAGGCTCTTTCCCAAAACAGAGCCAGCCAACTAGAGATGGTGATAAAGGGCAAATGTTTGATGCAAGCTGGCAGGGCTCTGCCCTCGTCTTTACACTCATTTCCCTAGCCTAATTTATTATCCACTTTGGAGATCTAGTGAGCTTCAAGCTTCAGATTCGCTGCAGCTTTTTCCCCCAGCACCAGTGTTACAAATGTGCAGAGTATGGTTTTCTTGGGTTTTTTTATTTATTAATTGTTTCTAACTTCTTAGTGCTGCCAGTAGTAGTGAACATTTGTGAATAATTAACAAATATCCTGCCCCTAGTTGGGTTGTATGGGAGAGAAGTAAGGACACGTACTACAAAGGATGTGTGCATCATCTAAAAACACAGTATATAGTTGATATGGGTGCATAATATTTTTTAGAAAAGTTGTTTTATTGACAGATATGAATATTATTCTTGGTTAAATGAATTGAAACTCTTGATTTTTAACATTTCTTCAATCGGGTTGTAGGCTTAGTGGTAGTGCATTTTCAAAGCATGGGGGGGAAATATTTTAAAAATTCTACTTATGTAATTGTTTAATTTTATAACCAAGCTAACCCCCACCCCGCCCAAAGATAGGGACTTAAGGCCTTAGGTTCCCAGGCCATCTCTCATCAATACAGTAGCCAGCCCTGCTTAGCTCAGTCATGTGCCTTTTAAAACCATGCCGCAGGGGCCAATTAATTGCATTGCAAGAAGGCAAAAACCTGGAAAACATCCCAGCCTTGGTTAAATGGGGTTAGAAAAGCGAAAGTCATGCCCTCGCTGAAATTGACTCTCACCATAGGATTGCAACTTTTGTTTATTTCTCTGTAGTGCCTTTTGCCCCTGTGCCTTTCACAGCAGCGGGGGGTGCAGAAATCCTGTTTTCCCATCTCCAGGCCAAGAAAGGGGGGGGGGTCTCGTCTGAATTCACCATGCGCTGTTATTGAAGAAGGGAGTGGACGACGCTTGCAAACAAAACAACGCTCAAAATGTTGCAACCCAAATCCCGCATGTTTGTAAAGCTCGCATTATCCCCAAATACTCCTGAGAGGGACGGCAGCAGCTCTTTGTATTAATGGTGGTGGCGTCGTGGCTTTTGCAACGATCTGAGCAGAAAGCATCGCCCGCCCCCCGCTTGGCACCGTTCCGCTCCCTCTCCGGTGGGCATCTTCTAAATCAAGTCTCGGGGCGTTCCGCCGGCCCCTGCTCCCAGGAAAGGGGAGGAGCCGCTGCTTCGGGCGACTATAGGAGGGGAGGGCCCTGGAAGCACAGACGCGAGCGGAGTTTGGGGTTGTCCTGAGAACCTCGTGGCGGGCAGGGAGGGACGGAAGGAAGGAGGGAGGGCTGCAACCACCGCCCGGCCTGGGAGGTTGCCGGCGTGTCTGCAGCGCTGCGAGAGCTGCCTAAGCCGCGGTTCCGAGCGCTGCTAGGAGCTCGCCTTGCAAGACCGCGCTCGCCTCTTGCATCGCCGGGTCTTTTTTTTAATTATTATTATTTTGCCGTCGCCCCTTCATTTCCGTTCCCTGGATCCTCCCGTTCCCCCTTTTGGTTTTTCCTATGACACTTTCTCTCGTCTCCCCGGCTTAGGGAAAGGGCTCTATTTTTAGCCGGGGGCAGCTCGTTCTATTTTTAGATCAAACAATTCCAAGGCGTGCGTCAATGGAACCCCGCGTGCGTCACCCGCGCAGACATTCCAACCCCTCCCCTCGCTCCGCGGGCGCCGGAACATTCCGCCCCTTTTTGCCTTGTATGGTGAAGCCTGCAGCCCGGCGCGTGCGTCAGAGGATCCCCCCTCCTTCCCTGCCCACCCCTCCGCCTGTGCGTCACAGAGAGCTTAAGAGAATCTCCTGGCCACGGGCTGGTGAGCCCCAGTGGCTTACTCGGCGTCTAGACGGCGTGCAGATCTCTCTCTCGCGCGCATCTCTGGGCTGCCGCGGACCAGGAGGAAGGCAATCGCTGCCGCCAAGCCCTCGATGCAAGCTTGACTTTTTTATTTTATTTTTTTGGAGGCGGGGAAGGCTCCCGCACCACCAAAAAGAACCCATTTCGAAAAGAAAACCCAAAAGTGGAAGGAACTGCAGCAAAACGATCTCTGAGCTGACTTGGGTACGTGGATTTTCTTAAAACTCTGCTTTTTTTCCCCTCTCCCGGAAAGTGCTTAAGATGCGCGCCCGAGGGTCGACTTTTTGGCAGATGTAGGGGGGGTTGCATGGGGAGGGGTGCGGAGAGATGCGGGGTGCGTTTTGTTTTGGAAGGCGGAAAAAAGAACTTTGTAGTACACGGATTGTAGCGCGTTGCTTTGTGCCCGGGGTGCTCTTGCACGGTGAAAAGTTGGCTGTGCAGGAGATCGGGGCGGGCGCGGTTATATCTTTTGGGCTGGGGAAGCTTCTACTCCGGAAAGTTTTTTCTGCAAAATGGGAAGGCTAGATATAGACACTGCTTAATGTATGCATTCTAAATCCAGGACTTGAGGTGCAGCGGACCCTTGCAGATCTAACTCGTTTATCTTGGTGCATCTTAGGGGGCGAACAGAACTCGGTCCTTAGATTTAAGCCCCACGGAGTTTCTCAGTGATTGGCTCCTAAGTAGGTGTGTCTGGGCTTGCAGCCTTCGAAAAGTTGCTCTAAGGTGGAGTCAGTGCGTTACCAGGATCTGCAGGGCTGCTCATTTTCATAGTGCAAACATTAAACCTGACGTTACGTTGGCAGCTTCTGAAAGCCGTCCCGCATATGGCTCCTAATTGTCTCAGAGGACATTGTTAACTGGGTGGGATAAAAGTGATGCAAACAAATATTGAAATGAAATAAACGCAGGAGAATTATTTCTGAATTTCAATCAAACGGCAAAAATATATATGATCCAATGAGGAAGGTGTGAAATGATGTATTGGGGCATGCCCCCCCCCCCGTGGTATGTATTGAAGGAGATGTTGGCTTTTTTGTACTGGAAAAGTGCAAGGGGATTGGATTTGCAGGGTTGGGGGGGGTGGACTGGGTTTGGGCTAAGGAAACTATAATGCTGCACTTGTTTCAAGTGTTCAGGGAACCCACATAAAGGATGAGGTTGCAGTAACCTGAGCTTCTGGGAGTTTTGGCAGGTGTGTGCTGGTGAGTTTTAAGCGGTGGGTTTTGCTTTATATATGTATATTTAAACCTCGATTGTGACAGCCGTGTAATCTGACGGGGGGGGGGTTCTTTTGGGGCAAAAGTTTAATGGCGTCTGATTTGGAAGGAAAGTGAGTTTGCATTACTGGAAGGCAACCTGGTGGACGTTTGCTAGCCAAAAATACAATGTGCAGCCAGCCTCAGTGGGCTCTGAATAATGAAGACTGTTCCCCCCCTTGCAAAGTTGCCTTGCAAGGCTGGTAACATGGTTTGGTTTTTGTAATACTCCGTATTTTGGAGAGGGGGAAATAAATAACGAGTTCCATCTTTGTTGAGGTTGCCACTGATTTGTTAGACACCTGCAGCTCTCCAGTGAGGCAGAAGTTTCCTTTATCAGGCTGAATGTGCCCTGCCCCCCCACTGTACAGGTTTCTCCATGACTTTAAGTTTATTTCCTTATTCTGAGGCCACCAAGGAAGAGCTCTCTGTGCCAGATTCTTGTCTGCGTGAGGTAAAGCCTTTGCAGAGTGTCCCCGGGGACATTTGATCCTAATCGGGTTGGAGAATTTTTTTGTAAAGCCAATTGCTGGTCCTGTCCTTGTTTCCTGAACGCAGAAATCCCTCTTCAAGGTGGAAAAGGGTGGGGTGGGGGGACCTGTTTGCATGCAACCAGAGGGAAGATTTTGAAGCAGCCTCTTATCCGTCTAATTTCTTCCCCCTCCTTCTCAAAAAGAGATGCTCTTCTTTCAGTAATAATAATAATAATAATAATAATAGTAAGTTTTGATTTGCAAAGCAGCTTGCTGTCAGCACAGGTGGTGTGGAGCGTAAATCAGGGAGGGCTCCTTTCGCCATGGCCTCTTTCATGTGGCTTCTCAGGGGCTTGCAGTTCCTGGCATGTTCTGAGCAACAGGTGCAGCATCAAATTTGAGCACCTGGCAGCCTGTTTTTTTCACAGCTACCAGGGTCTCCTCCTGTTTCTAAGTTGGTGCGCTAGACTTCAAAGGCTGAGGAGCCAGATCACAGCGGGTTTCGTTTTTTTGTCATGGTTCCAAATTCATCACGGGCACCTTCTTTTCCGGGCCACATCAACTTTCTGCACGTAAGGTGCAGAAAACGTGAAAAACCTAGGTGCGTGAATCAGTTGAGTCTATCATTATAAAATGGGGGGTTTCATCGTAGTTTAATATGAGCTCATCCTGTGGAAGTGGTGTTCAATAACGAGGATGCCATCCCGAAGATGTCTACTTGGTCTGTTTTGTTTTACTGGAATTAAAACAACAAAGAATGTAGTTTACTAAAAAAAGAAAAAAGAAGTCCCTTTGGATTCAGTGGTAAAGATGTATGTAGCCTCAGTTACAAAAGGCACCTCGTACTTTCATTACATCTCATCCAAGTACCCTCCATTAGGAGAACTTGCTGTTGGCAGGCTAAAGCAAGGGGCAAATTGTCTGACAATCAGAACTAGGAAAAATCCCAGGAGGCTGATCTGGGCTTCTTGAAATCTGATGTTGACAGCTCAATAACTTTGTGTCTGGTTTCTAATTATTGGAAGCTTGTGTGTGTGTGTGTGTGTGTCTTGTTGACAGCATGGAGTACAGAGTTGATTGCCATGTTGACTTCTTCAGAAGTCTTTCAGGCGTAGCTTTCCTCATCATGCCATCCATGTAACTGTATGAAGCTTCACCTGTTTGATTTCTGCCTTCTGCATAGCTGTTAAAGGCAGGGGGAGGGGAGTGTGTGGCCACCATCTATAATACCACTAGACAGTTGTACATCTGGAATGGACTCATCCTAGACCCACCTCCTTCAGGTGGGCTTGAGCACAAGCAGTTATTTCCAGCGGTTATCGCTGGAACGTCTTGGCCAATAAACAGTGGGGTTCTTTTTCCCTAGAGTGGGACGATAACCTCACCCATATGTTCCAAACCAACAGTAAAATTGCACTTGTTGTTCCATGCGCCCTTGATATCTGTAAGCCATCTTAGCTTTAAAACAGGCATGAGCATCAGCAGCTACTGTTTTCGGTTCTGAAGTTAGGAACCCTTCCATGGTTAATTTGCACCAAACGTAATCATGTGCAGAGACAGCGATCCATCCTTAAGGCAGCCCTGTTCAGGGAAGTTTTTAATGTATGATATTTTAGTGTTTTTTGGTTTCTATGGAAGCCGCCCAGAGTGCTTCCATATTATTATTATTATCCTTACTGTTTTGGCTTTCCGGCAGGGGGTGCTCTTGAGCAGTCTGGTCTGCAAACACAGGGAGTATTTTAAGCAAAGAGCTAGTAGGTCATATTGTTAGTGCCCAGTTGATTTCTCTAAACTAGGGGTATGAAATCTTTCGCCCCCTCCATACACTAGCCAGCATAGCCAATGCTGTGAGCATTCAGATTTTCTGACCACTGTTGGGGAAAGTTTGCTGGGCTTGAGCGATGATCTGTCTAACCCAGAACAACTACACCAATGCAGGTTGTTGTTTTTTTTTAAAAAAAAGACATTAATCCTCAAGCTAACTCTAGAATAACTCCAGACTAATGAGATTTATCCAGATGCGCTTCAAGGTAGTTTATGCTTCCTGGTGTCTGTCTTTCTCTGAAATAAGGAATGTGGAGGCACGGGACCTGAATGCCCAAGCTGTGAAATGCAAGAGAGGCCAACTTGTACCAAGATAGGTCCGTCCGTAAAAATTTTTTAAAAGCAAACAAGCCCACAAATGTACAAGAGGTAGCCGTGCCTCCGTTGCTTGTTTGTGATGTGCCACAGAAGCCATTTGTGTTTGGGAAAACAACAAGGCTCTGGAAAGGGCTAGCTGAGCTGGAGAGGTGAATGCGTTGTTATGGAAAGACTGCACCCATTAACTGTTCTTGGACGGCTGGGGAGGGCCGTGTGGGAGAAGCAGTACACAGGGTGCCGTTGCACACAGGCAAGGCAAGCTCCTGGCATTTGGAGCCTCTGTTGGAGGCAAATGTGCAACTTACAGAGCCCCCATTGGATGTTGTGAGTCCCTTAGTGCAACACACAAATGGCCAGTTTTCCCATACAGTGGTACCTCGGGTTACATACGCTTCAGGTTACAGACTCCCCTAACCCGGAAATAGTACCTCGGGTTAAGAACTTTGCTTCAGGATGAGAACAGAAATCGTGCTCTGGTGGCACAGCGGCAGCAGGAGGCCCCATTAGCTAAAGTGGTGCTTCAGGTTAAGAACAGTTTCATGTTAAGAACGGACCTCCAGAACGAATTAAGTACGTAACCAGAGGTACCACTGTAGTTCAGTTGGCCGGTCCCTGAGGCTTTGGGGGAAGAGTTTTGGTCCAGAGTTTGCATGAACACAAAAGGTGTCTTTCTGCAGCATCCCAAAGAGCAAGGTGAAATCCTACTCTGGGAAAGAGTTGCAGAACCTCTGCTGGTGTATCCAAACCGCTCCGTAGAAACATAAAAGTAGAACTCTATAAATTATTGAACCTAATGCAGCCATGCACATTCATTTAAATAGGTCTGCTCTGAGTGCAACTTAGCTGAATACAGCCCTACGTTTTGGCAGCAGGATAGCAATCTGCCCTGACATAAACAAGGTTGTGAGAATAGTCTTCGTTGTTAAAACCCGTGACTATCTACCCCGTGTCATCCTGGTAACAGTCATAAAGGGGATGAACTGTGGGTGTGGTATGGCCGGCATGTTTTGCATTCCACCTGGCCAGGAAAGCCCTTGCTAGCCTGATTTTCTGCCTTGAGCAAAAACCGTACACTAGCATCGAGCATGTCACCTGCTCAGTATTTATACACCAACACTGCTGGAAGGTACGGCTATGGTGGCTGGTTGGAAGGGCTGCTAGAGCGAATAAAGGGGACAAAACCCATTGCACAAGCTAGCAGCCCTGTTTGCATCCAGAAAATCTCCTGTGCTACCTTTCGAAAGCTCTTCATACAGAGAAGATAGTAAGCAAATGTATGGAATCTCTACAGAAGTGTAGAGCTGTGAGATTCCTTTAGAGTCTATGGGGC